GCAGCTGGGATTGGAGCAAGGAAAAGGAATATGAGGATGAATAGGAGACAACCGAACTCACAATACCAGTGCCATTGAATCCGCCGATCCAATCACACCAAACTCTGATGAGGAAGAAGAAGATGGGCCTAGACAACAAACGTATAGAAGCTTACATGACATATATGAGACAGCCCCAGAGTCACATTTGGTATGTTTGCTGGCAGACGGGGAGAACATTGCATTTGAGGGGGCTGTCAAAGACGAGAAATGGAGACAAGACATGGACGAAGAGATAACGTCTATTGAGAAAAATCAGACTTAAGAGATTACTGACCTATCGATTGGACATAAACCAATCGGAGTAAAGTGGGTCTACAAGAAGAAGTCTAACGCCGAGGGTGTGGTCGAGCGATACAAAGCTCGGCTAGTAGAAAAAAGTTACAAGTAGAAAGCGGGAATAGATTATGACGAGGTGTTTGCACCAGTAGCTCGGATGGACCTATCCGATTACTGATCGCACAAGCAGCTCAGATGAAATGGCCGATCTATCAAATGGACGTAAAATTTGCATTTTTGAACATGACATTGGAGGAAGAGGTGCACGTTGAACAACCGTGCGGCTATGCGCAGGTCGGACGAGAGAGAAAGGTACTGAAATTGAAGAAATCTTTATATGGACTAAAACAGGCGCCAAGGGCATGGAACACTCGAATGGACACATATTTCAAGCGAAACAGATTTTTACAATGTTCATATGAGCATGCCTTATATGTAAAGAAAAGTAAGATCAGACTTATGTTCGTTGCACTCTATGTGGACGATCTAATATTTATGGGAAGCGATGAAAAAATGGTGCTGAAATTCAAAGAAGAAATTAAGCAAGAGTTTGAAATGACGGATTTGGGCCTAATGAAATATTTTCTAGTCCTGGAGGTGAAGCAAGCTGAGGCCGGGATTTTGATCTGTCAGGAAGCCTATGCTAAGGAGATCTTGAAGAGGTTCAACATGGAAGAGTGCAAGCCATTCGGAACACCAATGGAGACCGGAACCAAACATTCCAAGTTTGGGGGAGGAGATCGAGTCGATGCAGGCCTATACAAAAGCTTGGTCGGGTGCCTGAGATATCTAACTTGTACAAGGCCAGACATAGCATACAGCGTTGGAGTGATCAGTCTTTTTATGGAAGAACCTCGTCCATCACATTGGAAGGCGATAAAAAGAATTTTGAGATATATTCAAGAGACGAAGTCGCTTGGACTTCTGTAAAAGAGGTCGGACGAGATCGAACTAGTCGGATATTCTGACAGTGATTGGTGTGGGGATATTGATGACTGGAAGAGTACAACAGGCTACGTTTTTAGCCCGGGGAGCACGACGTTTACGTGGTTATCAAAGAAGCACCCGATTGTGACACTGTCAACATGTGAAGTCGAGTATGTAGCTGCATCATATAGCGTGAGGCATGTTGTATGATTGAGGAAAATGTTGACTGAGCTCGAGATCGGAGAGACGAAGCCGACCCCGACTTTTGTGGACAACAAATCAGCAATTGAGCTAGCTAAGAATCCAGCACACCACGAAAGGAGCAAGCACATGGATGTAAGATTTCATTTAATCAGAGAACAAGTAAAGACTAAAGAGGTCATGCTGACTCATGTGGCAAGCTGAGATCAAGCAGCAGATATAATTACAAATGCGTTGCCGATCGCAGCGTTTGAACATTGCAAGACAGAGCTCAGGTTAAGAGATGGAAGAGAATTAAGATTAGGGGAGGAATTTGTTGGGATTAATTAATCTTAATTCTAGCAATAATTATTAATAGCATTAATTATGGAGCATGGGAAGTTGATATCTAGGGAAAGTGAAAGATTGTCTAGGGGGGATTAAAAAGGGCATCCCCAGAGAATTAAAGAGACTTATAGAAATTAGTATTGCATTAATTATCTTGTCTTTGTATTGCCTATACAAAGGCCACTATGTATGATTTGATGTAATGTGAAGTTTTAGTAATTTTTCTCCTCCACTTAGTGTGTGTGTCGTGTTCACTATTTACGACTGAAATCCGGTCAATCTTGGGCCATCACTTTATTTCTAATTAAACTGCTAATACTTTTTTGGGATAATTCCCTAAATGGGAGTAAATAAATCATTAATTGTCAGAACAAGACTAAAGTTTAAAAATTCCCTAAATAGGAGTTAATATTTGTAATTTGTCAGAGATACCCTTGAACCTTGGTAACAAGCTGCCGCAGACACTATGCCGGACCGTTGCTGCTCGCCGGCCGGCCCACTCGCCGGCCGCCGCCGTCGCTCGCAGACCGCTGCCGCGGTCTCAAAATTAGCCGCCGTTGCAGATCAGGCCACAACGACTGCAGATCTGGTCGCCAGAGTCATAGATCTGGCCGTCTCCAGCCGCCGACTCCTGGCCCTACAAATCCGGCCGCCGGCGCTGCAGTCCGGCCTCCGCCGGTGTGGATCCGGCCGCCGCCGCTTCATCTCTGCCCACTGCCGCCGCTGTTGCCAACATTTTTCTCAGAATGCCAAAGTGAGTTGAGAATGCCATTTTAATGGCAGTTTTAAAGGGAAATACAAAAAATTTTGAAGAGTAAGAATGCCATTGTTATGGCATTTTCAGAGTAAATTTGGCAATTTAGAAACTAAAGAAGAAACAGGCCAGCATCGGACCTAGACAAAAACAAAAGGGGAAGAGAGAGGAGGAGGAAGGAGGGGGAGAACAACAAGCTTCATTACTCCGGAAATAGATCTGGATCAGATTTGCTCGTCCCCCTCTCTGCTCGCCTCTGTTGTTTCCTACTAGCCGTTGGCAGCCGGAGTTACTCGCAGCTTTCTGGAAAGTTGTTGTTGCAGGTTCCAACCGGAGAAGATGACCGGAGAAGATGACCGGAGAAGATGACGATGACCAGAGAAGAAAGTCCACCAACTTGCAACCTAAAAACTGAGTAAATTGGAGAAGTTAGCTACACAGAGATTAATTTAAAACAAGAAGAAGAAAGCTGGTCTGCCTAAGAAGAAGAGATGTGTGGCAGTGTGGGCAGCGGCCGTTGTGCGCGTGAGAAGTGATGCGAGCAGAAGGGGTAAAAGTGGAATAGTAATCCTATTTGGGAATAAAAATATATCTACTCCCATTTGGGAATTTACACAATAATTTAGTCCCATTTAAAGCAAAAAAACTCTACTTTTTTCAATAAAAAACAATTTTATAGAAAATATTGCTTGATATACTTTCCTAATTATCTAAGCATCGATCAAAGACGATTGTCGTCAAAATCAGAAACTAATGCTTGCAAACTCTTTGGTGTATTTTGTCAGCACGCAAACCTTTTTGCATTTCATAGTTTTTTAATAAACTCTATGTATAAATTATAATATTATTGTTTTTTGTGCTCATGAATCATGATTGTCTACCTACATTGAATTGATTATATTTCTGCAAGATTAATTTACATATAATCTTACTACACTCATAAATAATATATTCATGATCGTGACATAATTAAGATTTAACTTGCAGCTTGTTTATTAGCAAGGGCGGACCGTAGTAGAGACCCGGGGGGCAGTGACCCCTCCAACAAATTTTTTTTAGTGTATATATATATCAAAAAATAATTTTCGCCCTTCCAAAAAATATTTTTTTTAAGTTACTGTCCTCCCAAGATAAACTTCCTGGGTCCGCCCCTGTTTATTAGCTAACGGTATTGTACGTTTTGAGAATGCGTAGCTATGCATAATCTAAGCGGTTGTTTATTTTTTTTCTATTAAATTCGGTTTGGACTAAGATATATCTTTGGGTGAATGTGTTTATTTGAAATAAGTGATATTTATATATGGGATTGTTTATTTAATTTTGTATGCTGATTAAACTGTCTGAATTGAGTAAATAATCAATTCAGTATTGTTCTTAGATCATAATGTCAATGAAAAACTTTATTTATTTACTCCCTCTGTATTTAAAAGATCCATACATTAGGTTATGGAACAAGATTTAAGGGAAAATAGTAGGGGTAATAAATAATATAGAAACAGTATGAGAGAAGGTGAAAAAGTAGGAAATAAAGGATAAGAAGTAGAAAAAGTAAGGGTAATTGACTAATTTAGTATTTTTAAAGGAAAAGCTTTCCAAAAAGGAGAAGTCTATGTAACCTTTAAATACATCCCAAAATGGAAAGTGTATGGAATATTAAAATACGGAGGAGTGTATAAATCTATTCCACCATCAATTTGGAGATGTTGACAGAAAACACATCTTAATAGACGTCTTAATGACAAGGACTGATCTTCTCTATCTAAATGATTATGTCAATTTTTTGATTGAATGATTAAGTTATATTTTCAATTAAGTCGTTAGTAAACATAACTTGATGGCTAATTGATTAAGTCATGATCGTCACCAAGTTCATTAAGTCGAAAGTAAACAACCTGGTTACAAATCTGCCACAAATGAATTAGTTGGATAGCTAATAAAAACTCTCCCCTTAGAAACTTTCGTTAATGGAATTGAATGATCCACTAAATTTGTTAATAATTATTGAAGTCATTGATGAAAGAGCTGAATTGGTTAAATCTCATTAAATAGGAAGAAAAAAATTGTTATCATTGTTTAAGTAATTGCAAATGTTACACTATTCACATACTCTATTTTGACAATATTTTAATTATTAATCTATTTTAATTTTTTATTTTTAAAAGCACTAACAAATTTTCTTCATTTTAAATTTGCAAAATTTAAATCTTTTGAGTTTTGTAATAATAAGGAATTAAATACTACTCCTTCCGTCCCATTAAGAGGTTCCAATTGCGGTTTACGATGCTTGACTGACAATAAAGCAATTTAATCCCTATGCACACTCTGATTATTTTTAGTAATTAAAATTTATATATTCAGAAACTACATTAAAACCGCTACAAAGCTTGATAAAAAAATGTAGATTTGATAAAAATATGATATATATAAAGTAAAAGTTTAAAAATGATTTAAGTTTATCATGTGAATAGTGGACAAAAACCTTTAAATGGGACGGACGGAGTAGTATACTAATGATCAAGTTGCACAATATCAAATTTGGAAATAAAATGGAAGTGTTGCTAATAAAAAATAATGAACGAAAAATGATTACTAAATTAAGAAAAGTTATATGGTAAAAAGCCCGTAACTTCATCAACTCGATCATTCGTCTACAAATAAATTCAAGACTTATTTAAATAATTGCATAATTTTAAAAAAAAAATTATATACAAGAAAAAAGGAGTTATCAAATAGGACTTAATCTTGTGGGTCAAACCAGGGCACAGCCAATCGCAAATCGTTGATGCCTGAAGATCGAAGATCACTAACTGCTCTTTTCTCTCAGGTTTTGTGCACTACTCGGGCTTCTGTTTTCTTCCGTTTTGACTCGTTGTTTCTCTCTAGGGCATCCTGGCGCTAGAGTTCTTCTCCGGCGGCGGTCGTTCCGACTGTGGGTCCGGCGGCGGTCGTTCCGACTGTGGGTCCGGCGGCTTTGGCCGATTTCTTCCTGATCCGGGTGCTTGGCGTCCTCGTCAGGAGTTTTCTTCTAGTTGAGGGTTCGAAGACGCGGAGTTAGGGCTTTTTGTTTTTATAGTTTGGAGCAGGTTGTTGGAATATTGCTCCCGGGTGTGTAATGGCTACTAGTTAATAATTAATTGTTGTTTTTAAACTTTATTTTTCTGTTTGTGTAAAGCCTATTATTGTGGGATTGTTTTAAAAGATTTTTCTTCTTCTGGAGTTATTTTATCTCAAAACCGATCCTATTTTGAAGTAGTCAAGTCAGTTACTTTTTCCAGCTCGTGCTTCCTTGTTTTTAGGCCTTCCAGATGGAGTTTACTGGCTATAAAAGGGAGCATAGTTCGTGAGTTCAGGGTGAGAAAAAATCAAATCCCACTTTCTGAAATCTGCTCTATTCTTTTTAACAAAGGTTCCCACACAATTGAGGTGTGTGAGTTCCAAGTCTTTTCAGACGAGTGCACGTCTGCGAAGGCGGGTTGCGTTAACCTTGGGGAGCGAACCGCAACTGTCGATTGCACCCCGGTTGGGCCGGATTTCGCTTTCAAGGCAGTGGTCATCTTTTCCACGGTGCAACTTTCATTGTTTTGATAAGTTTCTTCTGTTCAGTTTATTTTCAGTTAATCATTTATCCAACAATTTGAAAGCGAAAAGCATATTACTGTTAGTAAACTGAAAAATGGTGTTTCCTCAATCAAAAATTGTTTTTTATATGTCTAAGATGGATCAACTTCATGGTACTAACTATAAAAGGTGGTCTCAAAAGCTTTTAATCTTTTTTGAGCAATTGGAGGTCGATTATGGTTTGTTCTCTGAAGCCCCTGTGGAGACTTCAAGAAGCCCAAAAAACCCTGCATCTGGCGTGGTTACACTTGCAGGTGATCTGTCCGAGAAGAGTGAATCTGTTGAGAACAGGCTGAAGTTTGAAAAGGACAATCGAACGGTCAAGGGGCAAATTTGCTAAGGAGATCTGGGACATGCTGGAGAAGAGGTATGGTGGTGACGATGTTGGAAAGAAGAAATACATAGTGGGAAACTGGCTTGATTTTCAGCTTGATGATCAGAAACCAATTATGGAACAAGCCCATAAATACGAGAATCTGGTGGCTGACATCGTGAGCGAAGGAATGAAAATGTGTGAAGTGCTGCAAACCAATGTACTACTGGAAAATTTTCCCAAGTCCTGGAGCGACTATCGTGCAAAACTTAAACACAAGAAGAAGGATATGTCTCTCCAGGAGCTTATCAGCCACATACGGACTAAAGAGGCTAATCGTCTCAAAGATAAGGCTTTTACTTTATCTAGTATTTCTGTTAAAGCTAATCTTGTTGAACCTTCTGGTTCTCAAAAGAACATGTACAAGCATAACCACAAGAAAGAATCACATCAGAAAAAATTTCCTACAAATAAGGGAGTTGGGCAGATTCATAAAGCCAAGGCTTTGTGCTATGTTTGCGGTAAACCCGGTCATAAGGCATACCAATGCAAAAATCGAAAAGGCCTGCAGAACGGGAATAACAAACATGTTGATACGCCCACTCCTCAAGTCAACCTTGCTGAAAACGATGACATTATCGCTGTGGTGGTTGTTGAGGCAAATCTGGTGGATGATAAAGGCACCTGGATACTGGAGCTTCCCGACACTTCTGTTCAAACAAGGAGCTGTTTCACCAATTCGAAGATGCTGAAGATGGAGAGCGTGTCTACATGGGAAACTCCGCAACTGCTGGAGTTTTGGGTAAAGGGAAAGTTCTACTTAAAATTACCTCTGGAAAAACCTTAGCATTGAGTGATGTCTTGTATGTCCCCTCCCTTCGTAGAAATCTGATTTTTGGTGCTTTGTTAAATCGGGTGGGTTTGAAAATTGTGCTTGAGTCTAATAAGGTTGTAGTCACCAAAAATGGGGATTTTGTGGGAAAAGGGTACCTAGCTGATGGTCTCTTTGTTCTTAGCACGGTTTCAGATAATGCAAAATCATCACCCTTTTTTGCTTACATGGCTGAATCTGTGAATGTGTGGCATGGTAGGCTTGGTCATGTTAATTTTGGGTCATTGAAAAAACTCAGAAACATGCACCTGATAAATGTGAATAATACAACCAAGCACTCTAAATGTGAAATATGTGTTGAGGTCAAACATGCTAGAAAACCATTTAAAGAAATCACAACTAGACAAACAGAGTTGCTGGAATTAATCCACTTTGACCTGGCAGACTTTAAGAACACAGAAAGTAGAGGAGGCAAAAGATACTATATGACTTTCGTTGATGACTTTTCGAGATATGCCAAAGTTTATCTTTTAAGGTCTAAAGATGAGGCTGGAGAAATGTTTATAAAATATAAAGCAGAGGTTGAGAATCAGTTAGATAGAAAAATCAAAAGACTTCGCTCTGACAGGGGAGGTGAATATAACACTAATTTCCTTAAAGAATTTTGTGAAAAACATGGTATAATACATGAGAGTAGTGCCCCTTATACCCCCCAACAGAATGGTATAGCTGAGAGGAAAGATCGTACTCTAAAGGATATGATGAATTCTATGCTATTAAGTTCTGGTTTGTCTGATAATATGTGGGGTGAAGCTATACTTTCAGCTTGTTATATTCTTAATAAAGTACCTCATAAAAGGATTGAAAAAACCCCCTATGAATTGTGGAAAGGGTATTCCCCTAATCTTAATTACTTAAGAGTGTGGGGGTGTCTTGCTGAGGTTGGCTTCCCTGATTTTAAAAGAACAAACATTGGGCCTAAAACTTTTGAGTGTGTGTTTATTGGTTATGCTCAAGGTAGTGCTGCATATAGATTTATGTCGTTAAATGATAGAACTATATGTGAATCTCGTGATGCTGAATTTTTTGAGCATATATTTCCATTGAAGAAGCATGTTGATAGAAATGACTGTGATTCATTTGTTGTGAATAATCTGCATAATATTCATGCTAATTTTGTGCCTGTGCTACCTGTGTGTTCTCTGGATACACTAAAACATGTGACTGGGACTAGGAAAGGTAAAAGAAAAAGGACAGAAACTAGTTTTGGACCGGATTTCTTAACTACCTTCCTGGCTGAACACTCTGATCAAATTGATGAGAGTTTTGTTTCGGTTTTCCTCTTAGAACAAGACCCTAAAACGTACAGTAAGGCAGTAACATCCATAGATGCTAGCTTTTGGAAAGAAGCCATTAGAAGTGAACTTGACTCAATTATGTGCAATCATACATGGGATCTAGTTGATTTGCCTGAGGGATGTAAACCTATAAACTGTAAGAGGAAACTGAGACCAAATGGAACTATTGAAAAGTTCAAAGCTAGGTTAGTTGTAGTTGGCTACACCCAAAAGAAAGGCATAGATTATTTCGATACTTATTCTCCTGTAACTAAAATTGAAACCATCAGGTCTCTTGTCGCCCTAGCAGCTATTAATGACCTGTTATACATCAAATGGATGTTAAAACAGCTTTTCTAAATGGTGACTTAGAAGAAGAAATATATATGAGACAACCCGAGGGTTGTGCAGTGCCTGGATAGGAGAATAAAGTGTGTAAATTGAAGAGGTCCCTATATGGATTAAAATAAGCACCCAAGAAGTGGTATGAAAAATTTAATAATACTGTGGTAGGAAATGGTTTTATAGTGAATGCATCTGATTCATGTGTTTATTCAAAAATGTTTGGACCACATTGTGTGATAATTTGTCTTTATGTTGATGATATGCTCATATTTGGTACTAATGAGGATGTAGTAACTAAAACCAAACATTTCTTGTCCTCTCATTTTGAAATGAATGACGTGGGAAAGGCTGATTTAATTCTTGGTGTTAAGTTAACCATGAATGAGAGTGGCTTTTCCATGTGTCAGTCTCATTATATTGAGAAGTTGCTGAAAAAATTTAACTATTTTGATGTAACACCTGTGAGAACCCCCTATGATTCTAGCACTTCTTTGAAAAAGAATGAATGTTCTAGTATCTCACAAGAAGAATATGCTAAAATATTAGGAAGTGTTATGTTTCTAATGAACTACACTAGACCTGATATAGCATATGCAGTTAGTAGACAGAGTCGTTATACTCATAATCCAAGCTATGAACACTGGAATGCTCTTCATAGATTACTCAAGTACTTGAAAGGTACAATGAACTGGTATTTGCACTTTAATAAATTTCCTCCTGTTTTGGAAGGTTTTTGTGATGTAAATTGGGTTACTGACAATGATGAAGTTAGCTCCACTAGTGGCTATGTCCTTGCTCTTGGTGTAGGGGCTGTCTCATGGAAGTCTGCTAAACAAACATGTATAACACGCTCTACCATGGAGGCTGAATTCATTGCCCTAGGGTTAGCAGGTCAAGAGGCAGAATGGTTGCAGAATCTGTTAGCCGACATTTCACTGTGGGGAAATAAGTGTGTTTCAGTTCCACTGCACTATGACTCACAAGCTGCCATAAGTGTTGCGATGAGCAGTGTCTATAATGGAAAAGGAAGACATATTTGCATCAGGCATGCTTCTCTCAAGCTGTTAATTAAAAACAACGTCATTTCCTTGGATTATGTGAAGTCGAAAAGGAATTTGGCAGATCCTCTCACTAAAGGACTTGCTAGGAAGCTTGTTCTTGAATCATCAAAGGGGATGGAGCTGATGCTCATGGACTGAAATTATGTGGTGGATACCATTTGTGATGAAACTATGCTACACAGTCCTTCTTTGCACTCCTATTTGTTTGATGTCGTGTGATAGTATTTGTGTGGAAGGTGAGATCTGAAATTGTTTAATAATTTAATGAATATGTGGATTCTTGAACGGTCCTAACGAGAAGGCCATACTAGATTCACTGCCTAGTTTGGATTCATAGCCCATTTTGGGTGGTCCTTGTGAGACGGACTTAATGAATACCATATTGTGGAGGTTGGACCTGTTGGTCCTTAATGGTTTCATATCCCGTTGTAGGGAGGTCTATGTTGAGATAGACTTGATGAACCACCTACGTGAGTGTGAAGGTGGGCCGCCTTCTATGAAAGACTTGGGCAATCTTTCTAGAGCTCTCACTAGACCCGAGGTTGGCGTATGGCCATATAATAGGCGCATTTGTGAGAATATCGCGGAACTTATAAAAAAAAAAGGGTATGATATGTGCAGTGGGGGTTTAGCCCCGGTCTGAGCAGTTCAAGAGCTATTCACTGGTCAAGATGTATGGTTGCCTCACTTCACTACGTGTCAATTCAAACGAAAGATATTGATGCTTAAGTATTCAACCCTTCCTTTGCCTGGGTCATTGCTCTTAACTAGTAAGCCATTAGTGGGGGATTGTTGGAATTTTGCTCCCAGGTGTGTAATGGCTACTAGTTAATAAATAATTGTTGTTTTTAAACTTTATTTTTCTGTTTCTGCAAAGCCTATTAATGTGGGATTGTTTTAAAAGATTTTTCTTCTTCTGGAGTTATTTTATCTCAAAACCGATCCTATTTTGAAGTAGTCAAGGCAGTTGCTTTTTCTAGCTCGTGCTTCCTTATTTTTAGGCCTTTCTCTCTCTGATTTTGGTAAAACCAGATGGAGTTTACTGGCTATAAAAGGGAGCATAGTTCGTGAGTTCAGGGTGTGAAAAAATCAAATCCCACTTTTTGAAATCTGCTCTATTCTTTTTAACAAAGGTTTCTAGGCAATTGAGGTGTGTGAGTTCCAAGTCTTTTCAGACGAGTGCACGTCTGCGAAGGCTGGTTGCGTTAACCTTGGGGAGCGAACTGCAACTGTCGATTGCACCCCGATCGGGCCGGATTTCGCTTTCAAGGCAGTGGCCATCTTTTCCACGGCGCAACTTTCATTGTTTTGATAAGTTTCTTCTGTTCAGTTTACTTTCAGTTAATCATTTATCCAACACAGGTTTGCAAGTTGGGACGGAGGGTTTGTGGAAGAAGACCTATTGGAGGGCTTCGTGAAATCATCAGGCAGCGGAGTATTAGTGTTTATTGTTTTGCAATTCGACACGATGAGCTTGATTAGCTGGAATTGTCGAGGATTGGGGAATGCCGCTACGGTGCAAGGGGTTACGGATTTAGCTCATTCACATTGTCCGGATATTTTCTTCCTAATTGAAAACAAAATTTGTAGTCAACGGGCAAAAGATGTGCTATACAAACAGGGGTATAGTAATTTCGCAGAAACGGATAGTGAAGGTAGTAGTGGAGGATTGGCACTCGGATGGAACGAAGATGTGGATTTGCATATTACCCAGATCAATAATAACTATATTGACTGTTTAATTAAACTATCTGAGAGTGATCCAGTTTGGCGTTTAACCTGCTATTATGCTTTTCCAGATGCACCAAGAAGACGGGAGGCGTGGGCTATGCTCTGGAACCTCGCTAAAAATAATAATTTACCTTGGGTGATTATTGGGGACTTTAATGATATCATGTATGATTCGGAAAAAAGAGGAAGGATTGATCACCCATTGTGGCGTACCCGCGGATTCCGGGAGGGCAGTGGCTGAAAGCGGTCTACGAGATTTCCCGTTTGAAGGTTATCAATGGACTTGGGATAAAGGGGAAGAGAACTAATTATTGGGTGGAAGAAAAATTGGACCGTATCTTGGTTAATGATGATTGGTGGAATGGATTTATGGCAGCACAAGCAACATCAATTGAGGCCCCTACCAGTGATCACATGGCGCGTTGGATAAAGTTTAGTCCTACGGTTCATAATCGTACAACTAAAAGATTTCGTTTTTAGAATATGTGGCTCAAAGAGGAGAAGTGTCGGACGATAGTTACAAATAGTTGGAATGCAGGTGCTCAACTTACGGTTAGTGAGAGGATTAATTTCTGCGGGCAAGAGCTACTTCGGTGGGATATAAGGCGGCCGAAAGGGTTCCGCCGCCAAATTGTAGCCTGTAAAAAACGTTTAGCTTGGTTACGGGGGAAGGAGGATGAAGCCAGTCTGAACGAGTTTTCCATAGTCAGATTAATTACACAAGACCTTATGGAAAAAGAGCATATTTACCGGAGGCAACGAGCTAAGGAGTTTTGGTTGAAGGAGGGGGATATAAATTCCCGCTTTTTTCATAATGCGATTAAGCAGAGACGGGGGGAATAAATTAATGGGACTCCGAGCTAATGATGTTTCATGGGTGACAGATCGCGGCATGGTCAGTGACATGGTGTGGGATTATTTTACTCTATTATTCCAGCACCAAGGATCGATAGTGGACCCGGCTGATTTAGAACCGATGCGGCGAATTACAGAGTGTCAAAATCGGTTTCTAATAAAACCACTTAGTCAGGAGGAGGTCAAAGCTGCAGTATTTGATATGCATCCCGAAAAAGCTCCATGCTCAGATGGTATGAACCCAGCTTTTTCCAAAAAATTTGGGGAGTGGTGGGACCGGAGGTAACTCGTCTGTGCTGTCA